CATGGGTGTGGATATTCCTTCATATTTCGAGTCGGCTTCATTCTTACACGATGTACTTATATAAATAAATAATAATGAACTACTATTTAAATAACTCAAAATAAAAGCGTGGGTTGCTTCTTAAATAAAATAGTAAAGCTATTTTATACGGAATATAAGACATGACACACTACACAAGACACAGGACACAAGGCACAGGGCATAAGGTATTGGAAAATAAGGCACAGTACATAAGGCACAGGGCACAAGGCACGGGGCATAAGGCACAGTACATAAGGCACAGGGCACAAGACATAAGGCACAGTACATACGGCACAGGGCACAAGGCACGGGGCATAAGGTATAGGACACCAGGCACAGGACACAAGGCACAAGACATAAGGCACAAGACATAAGGCACAGGGCACAATGTACAGGACGCAAGGCACAGGGCATAAGGCACAGGATATAAGGCACAGGACACAAGACACAGGACACAAGACAAAGGACACAAGACACAGGACACAAGACACAGGACACAAGACAAAGGACACAAGACACAGGGCATAAGGCACAGGATATAAGGCACAGGACACAAGACACAGGACACAAGACACAGGACACAAGACACAAGACACAGGACACAAGACACAGGACACAAGACACAGGACACAAGACACAGGACACAAGACACAAGACATAAGGCACAGGACACAAGACACAGGACACAAGACACAGGGCATAAGGCACAGGATATAAGGCACAGGACACAAGACACATGACACAAGACAAAGGACACAAGACACAGGACACAGGACACAAGACACAGGACACAAGACACAGGGCATAAGGCACAGGATATAAGGCACAGGACACAAGACACAGGACACAAGAAACAGGACACAAGACACAGGGCATAAGGCACAGGGCATAAGGCACAGGATATAAGGCACAGGACACAAGACACAAGACACAAGACACAGGACACAAGACACAGGGCATAAGGCACAGGATATAAGGCACAGGACACAAGACACAAGACACAGGACACAAGACACAGGACACAAGACACAGGACACAAGACACAGGACACAAGACACAGGGCATAAGGCACAGGATATAAGGCACAGGACACAAGACACAGAACACAAGGCACAGGACACAAGACACAAGACACAGGACACAGGACACAAGACACAGGACACAAGACACAGGACACAAGACACAGGACACAAGACACAGGGCAAAAGGCACAGGACATAAGACACAGGACACAAGACACAGGACACAGGACACAAGACACAGGACACAAGACACAGGACACAAGACACAGGACACAAGACACAGGATATAAGGCACAGGACACAAGACACAGGACACAAGACACAAGACATAAGGCACAGGACACAAGACACAGGACACAAGACACAGGACACAAGGTGCAAGATAAAAGAAACAATACATAAGAAATGACAAAAGATATAATGTGTTGTCTATGCCAGAAGATGGCTTCTAACAACTGGACACGTTGGGGGGGGGATAATTAAAACCAGCTTGAACAGTTTAATTATGTCGTTCAGATTAAACACATCCTTGACTGCGTTATTTTTCTGTTTCCTTTGACAGTTCATAGACACGTAAAAGTCTGTTTCCTTTGACAGTTCATAGACACGTAAAAGTCTGTTTCCTTTGACAGTTCATAGACACGTAAAAGTCTGTTTCCTTTGACAGTTCATAGACACGTAAAAGTCTGTTTCCTTTGACAGTTCATAGACACGTAAAAGTCTGTTTCCTTTGACAGTTCATAGACACGTAAAAGTAAGCAGCTTCTCTACATTAGTATGTAGAGTTTTGTTTTTGCTGTTTCTCGTTCGAATGCTCTACTACCTCAACCTCATCGTACATCAATTACATTTAACTATATGACTATGTCCTTAAATTAAAACAAATCTTTGTGTAAAATGGCATCTACTTTTCACATTTAAACAATGTAAATAAGTTTACATTCGCTTTCGTTTTTCAGGTTGGTCTATCTTCTGGTACATAGTGGTGGCTGCATTGAATGTAGCGGCTTTAGTCACAGGAGTTTGAAGCTCACATCAGCAAGTTTCGGTTTCCGGCCAAGTATCTCAACGTCTTTATTAATTATACTCAATGTTTCTTGGCAGCCCACACGCTGTTTTAGTAATGTATTATCCTTGATTGGTATATACCTAAATAATACATCCACACCAAATCTTTTGGAAAATTATATCATACAACAAAAATATTTACATAAGCATCAAACATTTTTATTTTAAAAACTCCACAATGATTTTATCAACTTTACATTTCTTTGTTGATATAAATAAAAACTGAATAAATGCAATATTATACAGTTGTCCTTTTTTTCATTATTTTTCTGTTGGTGGAAACTGAGATTGGCCTACAAGGGCACTGAATACATGACACGTTTGCACACCTCTATTACTGTACAAATTTGAAAGCTTAAGTGCAATAGGATAGTCAGTAAATCTCAATAGCACATATAAGTATGCTTGTGTTGTTGGCATACAAAAGTCTGCAAGTCTGGATAGCATCCATAACAGTTGACAGTCCGTAAGTGTTGGTTGAATAATATAAGTCACCGTTTAGGGTAGCGCTTACGTAATTATGTGTGAATGTTTATGTGGGTTGTATAAACCAAATGCTAATGGTTTAGTGTGTACCAATGACATACTGGATGAAATGGGGCGGGTCAGTGAAATATACGTGTAAAACCTGGCATACAAGTAAACTTTTGGGTCGGGTGTTAGTATATCGGTGAATGTACGCGTGTGATGAGTTGTAAACTTTTGGGTCGGGTGTTAGTATATCGGTGAATGTACGCATGTGATGAGTTGTAAACTTTTGTGTCGGGTGTTAGTATATCGGTGAATGTACGCATGTGATGAGTTGTAAACTTTTGGGTCGGGTGTTAGTATATCGGTGAATGTACGCGTGTGATGAGTTGTAAACTTTTGGGTCGGGTGTTAGTATATCGGTGAATGTACGCGTGTGATGAGTTGTAAACTTTTGGGTCGGGTGTTAGTATATCGGTGAATGTACGCGTGTGATGAGTTGTAAACTTTTGGGTCGGGTGTTAGTATATCGGTGAATGTACGCGTGTGATGAGTTGTAAACTTTTGAGTCGGGTGTTAGTATATCGGTGAATGTACGCGTGTGATGAGTTGTAAACTTTTGGGTCGGGTGTTAGTATATCGGTGAATGTTCGCGTGTGATGAGTTGTAAACTTTTGGGTCGGGTGTTAGTATATCGGTGAATGTACGCGTGTGATGAGTTGTAAACTTTTGTGTCGGGTGTTAGTATATTGGTGAGTTTGTCGGTGTGTTTTAGTAATAGCCAGGGTGTTAAAAGGTGTCTCAGTTACATGTCAGGGTGTATGGTGTTTTATTAGTTATATGTCAGTGTGTAGTGGTGTATCCGTCAGAGACGTCGCGAGGCGGGGGCGGGGGTGTGGACCGCACAAGGTGACACCATTTAGGGGGTGTTACCATGGCGAAAAGCTGCAAAATATATAGAAGAAATATGCTGCTCTCCAGTGTAATTAATGAATGATGAATTAGGGTTAACCTGCCGATATTAATATTAATAACTGACTAGATAAACATCTTTACTATTAACTGTGCACACTTTAAAACTATCGCCCGAGTGGGGGGGGGGGGGGGGGGGGTGTAACACCAACTGCAAAATTCACAGAGGAGTCAACAATCGGGAAGGGGGTGACACAAAAAATTTAATAATTTACGATGAAAACGATGCTTTTTCCAAATGAATTGACTGGTGGATTAATATAATGTACGCACAAATTGACACCATTAGGCAATTGCGAGGGGGTGACACAAATGAAAACAATATATATAGGCTTATAGATCATATATATATATATATATATATATATATATATATATATATATATATATATATATATATATATATATATATATATATATATATATATAATTCTCTTTTGGGAGCCGCTAGAAAACAAGCTGTAAGCGCGCTCCCTACCACCCCACCCCTACTTGGTCTGGTGAGCTGTGGTTCACGCTAAATGTTTACATTCGTAGAGCTGGGTTTAGTGACGGCTATTAGGGGCAGATAATTTAGTTTGAAACGATTTTAAACTTAGGGGAGGACACTAAGAGAAGGCTGCTTTCACGCGGGGCGAGGTGTAGGGTCGGGGTTGGGGGAAAGGAGGGTGGTGGTAGGAGTTGGGGGAAATGAGGGTGGGGGTAGTATCGTTCTTAACGACCTACTGATAGTGTTTTAAAGCAAATATTTTCAGTGGCAGCATTGGTACTGTCGAGTTCACAAATTATGAATTACTGAAAAGTAGAAAATAAAAACAACTAAATAGCGGCATATGATATGCCGCGGGTCGGCTCGTATCATATAATTTTTTTGGGGTGGCTGACACCCTAAGGTGCCGCACAGGGTGTCACCCGACCTCGCGACACCACTGGAATCAGTTATATTAACTTATATGTCAGAGTGTGGTGGTGTGTTAGTCTTTAGCTATATAATAATACACTACTATTTAAATAACTATAGAGAAAAGCGTGGGTCTATTCCTAAATATAAGTAATTATCCAATAGATAATAGAGAGGACCACTAACAGGGTACGCAGTGTGTTTACATACACACAGAAGGACATGATTTTTTAAAATAAAAATATTTTAAAGAATAAAATATTTTAAAAATATTTTAAAAATTAACTTAAATAAACGAAATGATTATTTTTTGTAATATTATAAGATGAAAAATGCATGCTTAGCATCTACGTAAATTAGTTTCGCATTCTTCATTTTTATTTCATATATTAAACAATGTATTCTTTTCTCGAAATTCTTTTACTAATGACGTCATTGACTGCGGCATGAAAAAACTCCGGAACAATAAATTAAAAGAATTGGTGCGCAAAAGCTAAAAAAAGAACATAAACTCACTAAGCGCTGGTTTACACGAGCTTTGAACAGACCCAGCCTGCTAAGATACTGATATCCATGTGTAACCTTCAGCACCTAAATATGTTGCCCGTTTCGGCCGACTGCCTGAAGTTTTGTACCAGGGTGTGAAGGCTAATCATTTATTGTGTACATCGAGCATACAAGCAAGCAGTTTTATGGCTCCTACACATTTTTCAAGGATGATCAACATTTTAGCTCTTGTGTGCTTGGGATTAATCTCGAAGGTTGAAGGTAAATCTGTCTGAACTCTAGACCCATAAATCTAAGTCTTTGTAGACATCAGAAATCGGCACATCCGGTTTGAAGTTAGCATCGCCCTAGAATCCTAGATTAATTTTATTATTTCTTACGTTAGTTTAATATTAATAAAAATTGTATCAAAATATGTTTAATGTGTATTAATGTATTTCACAATAGGCAACATCAACCGTAACATGCCCGTACTTTGGTATACGTAACATTGACCTAGAATCTAATATCGTAACAAAAAAGTACACTAACCCTATCGCCATAACCTAAATGACTTAACAACTAAAGCACAGATGCACGTGAAGATTGGTCAAACAAACATTAGTAGCCGTAAACAATGCAGACCTCAAGAGTTTGCTAAACACGGCCCAACTAATATTAATGGATTGGTCAAACAAACATTAGTGGCCGCAAACAATGCAGACCTCAAGAGTTTACTTAACACGGCCCAACTAATATTAATGGATTGGTCAAACAAACATTAGTGGCCGTAAACAATGCAGACCTCAAGAGTTTGCTAAACACGGCCCAACTAATATTAATGGATTGGTCAAACAAACATTAGTGGCCGCAAACAATGCAGACCTCAAGAGTTTGCTAAACACGGCCCAACTAATATTAATGGATTGGTCAAACAAACATTAGTGACCGCAAACAATGCAGACCTCAAGAGTTTACTAAACACGGACCAACTAATATTAATGGATTGGTCAAACAAACATTAGTGGCCGCAAACAATGCAGACCTCAAGAGTTTGCTAAACACGGCCCAACTAATATTAATGGATTGGTCAAACAAACATTAGTGGCCGTAAAACAATGCAGACCTCAAGAGTTTACTAAACACGGTCCAACTAATGCTAATCAATGGCAAATGAGAGTGCTTTGTTCTGTAGCATCTGATTGCGTGTGTATAAGCATATGTGTATATGTATATATATATATATATATATATATATATATATATATATATATATATATATATATATATATATATATATATATATATATGTGTGTGTGTGTGTGTGTGTTGTGTGTGTTTGTGTGTTTATCTATATATTTGTATGTTTGTGTGTCTGTCGTTACTCGCTGAAGTTCCACACTAGATTCTATCCTATCTTCTCTAATGTTCGCTAGATTTCTGTTTCTAACAGATGACGGAATGATATATCTCAGCTGCAGCGTTGGCCAATGATAGTGAATAGTCTATAACTAAAAATAGTTCAAATATGATACGTTAACAAGCACAATATTTTCCCCCACTACAGGGCAAGCTTCACAAATGGGAATAGAATTTCAGGTACAGTTCCCATACATGCCTGAAGGCCAACCCATCCTAATGATGTACTCAACCATGACGAATAAATTCGATGTTTACGTCACGGCTCCGATATGGCAAAACCCCTTTTTTGAAAAAGTCGCTCTCAACCGTTTGCAGGTCACTACTTACGTGGTCCAGCGGAAATATTTGTAAGTTAGCACTTTATATCGGTAGGTTCAGCGGAAATATTTGTAAGTTAGCTCTTTATATCGGAAGGTTCAGCGGAAATATTTGTAAGTTAGCTCTTTATATCGGAAGGTTTAGCGGAAATATTTGTAAGTTAGCTCTTTATATCGGAAGGTTTAGCGGAAATATCTGCCGTTGCTTAATAAAATTTTGTACTCTGAATGTTTATAACTTCGGAAAGTAAATATTTACAACAGTGAGTACGGACAGTGAGTATTTACGACGTGGGACTGTGGATGTTGATGACGTGGGACTGTGGATGTTGATGACGTGGGACTGTGGATGTTGATGACGTGGGACTGTGAATGTTGATGACGTGGGACTGTGAATGTTGATGACGTGGGACTGTGAATGTTGATGACCTGGGACTGTGAATGTTGATGACGTGGGACTGTGAATGTTGATGACGTGAGCAGCGAATGTCTGCTTTAAACCGCTCTCATTGTGTCCCAGAACATCAAGAAGTGGCACCACCACGTCTATTGTCGCCAAAGGAAAGTTCCAGTTTGGGATGACGGTGTTTATGCCGGTGTCGTTCCACTCGGCTGCCAGTTTCCTGGCCATACCAACTTCCGGTTGGGGCGCGGAGTACTTTATTCTGATACCAAAGTAAGTCTTGTTTTGTTTCGTCACACAATAATTTGTTCTGGTACCAAAGTAAGTCTTGTTTTGTTTCTTAATCCTTACCATATATGGACAAATCACGTGTGAACAAACCCCCCACTCAATCAGAGACCCTGTGGGCACAAAACAACTATGGCCAAGTAATGTTCTAGTCAAACCACCTATGATCAAAGCCACTACGGTCAAACTACCAATGATCAAAGCATTATGGTCAAACCTCCAATGATCAAAGCATTATGGTCAAACCTCCAAAATTTAAAGCATTATGGTCAAACCTCCAAAATTTAAAGCATTATGGTCAAACCTCCAAAATTTAAAGCATTATGGTCAAACCTCCAAAATTTAAAGCATTATGGTCAAACCTCCAATGATCAAAGCATTATGGTCAAACATCCAATGATCAAAGCATTATGGCCAAACCTCCAAAGATTAAAGCATTATCTTCAAACCTCTAATGATCAAAGCATTATGGTCAAACCTCCAAAATTTAAAGCATTATGGTCAAACCTCCAATGATCAAAGCCACTATGGTCAAACCACCTATGATCAAACCATTATGGTCAAACCTCCAATGATCAAAGCATTATGGTCAAAGCACTAATGATCAGAGTCAGAGAACATATGGATAAAGGTCCTCGTACAAAGACATTTTTTTTCACTATTCTGGAAATAATACTGTATTATAATATTATTTTAAAAAATTAAATTTTATATCAATAAAACAAATTAGACCGAAGTTTAAAGTTGTCTGAATAAAGCCAAATAAAAAATTCGTCTGTTACATTGATACATGGCCAATTCATACCGTGATATGGTCGCCTCTACTCTACAGACTCTAAAATCCCGACCCCCTCACGTTTTATACCCTGACATCCCCACCCCTACGTTTCACACCCTACCATCCCCATTCTGTATTGCATACTCAAATGATTTACGACAACGTTAACTGGTGTTCATTTCTAACAGGATAGGGCCTTCGATTGTACTCATTTCTTTAGTTGAGGAAAATGAAATCAGCGTACATTATGCAGAACACATTGAGCAGCTAGAAAGCCAATTCACTGCGGAATTACTCTCTACTATTGTACTCAATAGGTGGGTAGCTAACTTTGGTACCTACCCAATAAGTGGGTAGCTAACTTTGGTGCCTACCTAATAGGTGGGTAGCTAACTTTGGTGCCTACCCAATAGGTGGGTAGCTAACTTTGGTGCCTACTCAAAAGGTGAGTAGCTAACTTTGGTGCCTACCCAATAGGTGGGTAGCTAACTTTAGTGCCTACCCAATAGGTGGGTAGCTAACTTTGGTGCCTACCCAATAGGTGGGTAGCTAAATTTGGTGTCTACCCTATAGGTGGGTAGCTAACTTTGGTGTCTACCCTATAGGTGGGTAGCTAACTTTGGTGCCTACCCAATAGGTGGGTAGCTAACTTTGGTGTCTACCTAATAGGTGGGTAGCTTACTTTGATTCCTACCCAATAGGTGGGTAGCTAACTTTGGTGTCTACCCAATAGGTGGGTAGCTAACTTTGGTGCCTACCCAATAGGTGAGTAGCTAACTTTGATTCCTACCCAATAGGTGGGTAGCTAACTTTGGTGCCTACCCAATAGGTGTGTAGCTAACTTTGGTGCCTACCCAATAGGTGTGTAGCTAACTTTGGTGCCTACCCAATAGGTGGGTAGCTAACTTTGGTGCCTACCCAATAGGTGTGTAGCTAACTTTGGTGCCTACCCAATAGGTGGGTAGCTAACTTTGGTGCCTACCCAATAGGTGGGTAGCTAACTTTGGTGCCTACCCAATTGGTGGGTAGCTAACTTTGGTGCCTACCCAATAGGTGGGTAGCTAACTTTGGTGCCTACCCAATAGGTGGGTAGCTAACTTTGGTGCCTACCCAATAGGTGGGTAGCTAACTTTGGTGCCTACCCAATAGGTGGGTAGCTAACTTTGGTGCCTACCCAATAGGTGAGTAGCTAACTTTAGTGCCTACTGCTCCGCTCATGATCCGAGAAACATTTAAAAGTTGTCCAAGTCAGCAGAATATACTTGAGTGACGCGATTCATTTTCCCAGCCATTTGCAGAGCTTTAGATCAGATCGCTTGGATTAGTTAGATTCTATAGTTTAATCTAATCACGAGTCATTTTCTCGACCATTTGTAGAGCTCTAGATCAGATCGCTTGGATTAGATGGATTCTATAGTTTAATCTGATCACGATTTGAAAAAAAATAGTGGTGTTTAAACTTAATTCATCCACATCTACATTAATCACCAGACACATTAATCGTCAGACACTTTGATTTAATTTCTTTCAACTAGTCCGCTCAACATTTCTGTCTTTAAAATAGTGTTTAAATGGTTTCACATTGGCAACATCTGTTTTAGATAGTGTAGTCAGTTGTTATTGATTGAGTAGTTATCAATCCGAAATTAAATTGTGTATTTTTTTAAAACTCGGGATAAAATATTAAAATTTGAATTTCCCTCCCAGGAAGGAGGCTTACATCATACAGAACTGTACTGGAAGAAAGGTCGGAGAGCAACCTTTTGGAGGTGAGTACTTCACGGGAACTTTTAATTTTTTTATTGATAGTGTGAGTACAATGTGTAAAACGAAGCTGTAATGCAGGCACATGACTTATTTATTTATGCAAGATTGTGATTTGATTTAGTTGACTTTCAATTGTTCCTGGAATTTTTATGTACGTGAAATAGATTTGTGTACATAGCTGTGATGTTTGCGTGACTTTGAAACTTGTGTAGATTACACGAATGTAGCAATAGATTGTTGTGTTGTGCTTTAGCTAACGCTCGTGACTTTAGACATGAGTACCCAACACCAGACATTCCTTGCCTATTGGATCTCGGATAAATTTTTGGCGGTTTTATTCAGTGTGTATTTTTGTATGTGTGCTGCAATATTTGTGTAGGTGAACTGTAATATATGTGTATGTCTGCTGTTCAAGATAGATCTATGCGGCGGTGTTCAGTTGTCTTTTCTGGTGGATTGGCGAAAGTCACGCCTCTGTAGTTAGGTGCCAGACAATCATGTCCCAGAAAATTATGTCACAGACAATCATGCCCCAGACAATCATGCCCCAGACAATCATGTCCCAGACAATCATGTCACAGAAAATCATGTCACAGAAAATTATGTCACAGACAATCATTTCACAGACAATCATGTCACAGACAATCATGCCCCAGACAATCATGCCACAGACAATCATGTCACAGACAATCATGTCACAGACAATCATGCCCCAGACAATCATGCCACAGACAATCATGCCCCAGACAATCATGCCCCAGACAATCATGTCACAGACAATCATGCCCAAGACAATCATGTCACAGACAATCATGCACCAGACAATCATTTCACAGACAATCATTTCACAGACAATCATGTCGCAGACAATCATTTCACAGACAATCATGTCACAGACAATCATGCCCCAGACAATCATGCCACAGACAATCATGCCCCAGACAATCATTTCACAGACAATCATGCCCCAGAAAATCATGTCACAGACAATCATGCCCCAGACAATCATTTTACAGACAATCATGCGCCAGACAATCATTTCACAGACAATCATGTCACAGACAATCATGCCCCAGACAATCATTTCACTGACAATCATGCCCTAGACAATCATGTCACAGACAATCATGCCCCTGACAATCATTGCACAGACAATCATGCCCCAGACAATCATTTCACAGACAATCATGCCCCAGAAAATCATGTCACAGACAATCATGTCACAGACAATCATGTCCCAGAAAATTATGTCACAGACAATCATGCCCCAGAAAATCATGCCCCAGACAATTATGCCCCAGAAAATCATGTCACAGACAATCATGCCCCTGACAATCATGCCTCAGACAATCATGTCCCTGACAATTAACAGTTAACCTACTTTAATCTTAACAGTCACACCAGCAAAACTAACAGCGTTGTATTCATTTGGCGTTATTGTTGGCACTTGCGAAGAATACGAATTTGAATCAGAATGTCGTAGAAAGAATGTCAAGACCGCTGGTGGTGTAACGGCAGGTAACATACACAAATATACACACACACATACACACAAATTTATATGTTCTTATGTTCTGTATGTATGTATATATATATATATATATATATATATATATATATATATATATATATATATTATCTTTATAAAATAAATAAATATAAAATAAATATAAATATATTTAATTATATAACTTTCAGAAATGCTTATCCCCTCAAGGACTTGGGGAAAACAGTTTGTATTGCCTCAAACATTAAGGAAATCGTGTGAACAGAGGTTACGATTTCTATTACATAAGCCGAACACAGTTATACGAATTACTACGAACGAGCAAACACAGGTTATAAACGTTGCCGCTGGGGGTATTTTGGAGGTGAGTTTTTGAGCTTCCTTACACTCACCAGGTGAGTTGTTGAGCTTCACTACCTTCTGCAGGTGAGTTGTTGAGCTTCACTACATTCTGAAGGTGAGCTGTTGAGCTTCACTACATTCTGCAGGTGAGTTGTTGAGCTTCACTACATTCACCAGGTGAGTTGTTGAGTTTCACTACATTCTGAAGGTGAGTTGTTGAGCTTCACTACATTCACGGTGAGTTGTTGAGCTTCACTACATTCTGAAGGTGAGCTGTTGAGCTTCACTACATTCTGCAGGTGAGTTGTTGAGCTTCACTACATTCTGCAGGTGAGTTGTTGAGCTTCACTACATTCTGCAGGTGAGTTGTTGAGCTTCACTACATTCACCAGGTGAGTTGTTGAGCTTCACTACATTCTGCAGGTGAGTTGTTGGGCTTCACTACATTCACCAGGTGAGTTGTTGAGCTTCACTACATTCTGCAGGTGAGTTGTTGGGCTTCACTACATTCACCAGGTGAGTTGTTGAGCTTCACTACATTCTGCAGGTGAGTTGTTTAGCTTCACTGCATTCACCAGGTGAGTTGTTGAGCTTCACTACATTCTGCAGGTGAGTTGTTGAGCTTCACTACATTCTGAAGGAGTTCGTTAATGGCACCTGAGTCTGTTCCAGCAGGGATTAGTACCTGGCATAACCATATCATGCTTATGAGTACGGCAGTACAGGTGGGTATCTGGCATGTCTATAAGACGGGCTGAGCCAACCCAGCACCTAAAAGTATCTGGCATGTCTATAAGACGGGCTGAGCCAACCCAGCACCTAAGAGTATCTGGCATGTCTATAAGACGGGTTGAGCCAACCCAGCACCTAAGAGTATCTGGCATGTCTATAAGACGGGTTAAGCCAACCCATCACCTAAAAGTATCTGGCATGTCTATAAGACGCGCTGAGCCAACCAAGCACCTAAGAGTATCTGGCATGTCTATAAGACGGGTTGAGCCAACTCAGCACCTAAGTGTATCTGGCATGTCTATAAGACGGGTTGAGCCAACTCAGCACCTAAGTGTATCTGGCATGCCTATAAGATGTGATGAGTCAACCCAGCACTGACCGGTATTTTTTTAACATTACTGCTTTTACTAAGTTCCAAGCGTCCGTTTGTTTGTGGGCATGTGTCAAATCTAGTTACTCAATTTGCACGTACATCTAACGCAATGGTTTAAATTTTGTATGCCCACCTGCACAGACCTATCGCCTGAACTCGCAGTCAATCGTGTACGTGAAGGCTTCCGGACAGATCATGGTGTACTCAGATTACTACTACCCTTGTTTAACCGAGGGAGATTTAAAATTTCAAGAGCTGGTCATGGTTGTCCCAGTCGAGCTGTTTATGAATGAATACATTTGGAGGTGGGCTGTTACTTTTTATGTTCACACATTTATAATTCTCAAAGTATTAGCATTCGTGAATATTTAAACATTAATATATATATATATATATATATATATATATATATATATATATATAATATATATTATATATATATATATATATATATATATATAATATATATATAAATATATATATATATATATATATATATATATATATATATATATATATATATATTTATATATATATATATATATATATATATATATATATATATATATATATATATATATATATATATATATATATATATATTTATATATATTGATATATCTATAAATATATATATATATATATTTACAGATATATATATATATATATATATATATTTATATATATATATATTTATATAGATATATGTATATATATATATATATATAATATATATATATATATATATATATATATATATATATATATATATATATATATATATATTTATATATATTTATATATATTTATATATCTATAAATATATATATATATATATATATTTACAGATATATATATATATATTTATATATATATATTTATATAGATATATGTATATGTATATATATATATATATATATATATATATATATATATATATATATATATTATATATATATATATATATATATATATTATATATATATATATATTCATCAAAACGTGTATCTAGTTTTTTAATGAAATAAATGAAATTATATTTTAAAGTGTGAACACTTGTTGATAAAGTTTAACTTGCATTTTCAGCACCCCTTCAGCGAGAGGCTTCGCACCATCTCACTACATCTCGATCGTAGCACCAATCGATAATTTTTCCTTTTAATCGATCAAATCAAAGTCAGGTAGTAGCGTTAACTGTTATTTAAGTAAGAATATCAAGGTAACGCTAAGCATAAACTATTACCTTAAAGTATAGGGAGTAAAGCTAAGCATAAGATTGTAAACCTAAGCATAAGTTGATAATCCTAAGTTTTAGGATGATAATCGTAACCTTACGCAGAAAGTGAGGAACTGATTGTACTTGTAGTAGATGTTTACATGGGCTCAAGTTTTGAATACGTCATTGTAAATATGAACATGGTTTCAATTTCAGTAAACGAGAAATATGGTTGAGGCTTCAACTACAGTTGGTGTGTGTGTGTGTGGGAAGGGAGGAGGGTTTGATTTTAAATCAGACACAGGTTGAAGTGGTGGTACTGGGTAAAGGGAGGGGACGAAAATAATGTTGGGGTGTGGCATTTACACACAGGTTGACAACGGTTTTTTTTATCATCGTAGGATAATATTTATCGGCTTCTAAACTATATAGAGAGATTTTAAACGCTACTAGAGCGAAACCACGCGAAACTCTTTACACCATTTGATTGGGTACATTTTATTTATTTCTGTACTTAGCTTAAAGTGGCAGCGTGACGCCATCAATCGCTGGCAGACGTCTTTCTCCAGAATTGAACCGGGGTACCCACTACATATCGTCAGTAACAGGATTTGCTTTCGGAATCTACATCGTGGGGCTTACCTCGGAGTACCAGTTCATTCATTCCGCAGGCTTTTATATTACTGACTTTAGTGGGGGTAAGTGCCGGCTTACTTTTATATTACTGACTTTAGTGGGGTAAGTGCCGGCTTACTTTTATATTATTGACTTCAGTGGGGTAAGTGGCGGCTTACTTTTATATTACTGACTTCAGTGAGGTAAGTGCCAGCTTATTTTTATAATACTGACTTCAGTGGGGTAAGTGCCGGCTTACTTTTGTTTTAATGACTTCAGTGGGGTAAGTGCCGGCTTACTTTTATATTATTGACTTCACTGGGGTAAATGCCGGCTTACTTTTATATTATTGACTTCAGTGGGGTTACTGCCGGCTTACTTTTATGTTACTGACTTCAGTGGGGTAAGTGCCGGCTTACTTTTATATTATTGACTTCAGTGGGGTAAGTGGCGGCTTACTTTTATATTACTGACTTCAGTGAGGTAAGTGCCAGCTTATTTTTATAATACTGACTTCAGTGGGGTAAGTGCCGGCTTACTTTTGTTTTTAATGACTTCAGTGGGGTAAGTGCCGGCTTACTTTTATATTTCTGACTTCACTGGGGTAAGTGCCGGCTTACTTTTATATTATTGACTTCAGTGGGGTTACTGCCGGCTTACTTTTATATTATTGACTTCACTGGGGTAAGTGCCGGCTTACTTTTATGTTACTGGACTTCAGTGGGGTAAGTGCCGGTTTACTTTTATATTATTGACTTCAGTGGGGTTACTGCCGGCTTACTTTTATATTATTGACTTCAGTGGGGTAAGTGCCGGCTTACTTTTATGTTATTGACTTCAGTGGGGTAAATGCCGGCTTACTTTTATATTATTGACTTCAGTGGGGTAAGTGCCGGCTTACTTTTATATTACTGACTTCAGTGGGGTAAGTGCCGGCTTACTTTTATATTTCTGACGTCACTTGGGTAAATGCCGGCTTACTTTTATATTACTAACTTCAGTGGGGTAAGTGCCGGCTTACTTTTATATTATTGACTTCAGTGGGGTAAGTGCCCGCTTACTTCAAGCCGCTTTTCATTGACTATATATATATATATATATATATATATATATATATATATATATATATATATATATATATATATATACTGACCACACAGACAGGTCCGGCGCCAGGTTATTTAGCGCCCTAGGAAAACTTATTATATTAACCACCCCCCGCAAGTTTTTATTCGGACCGACATATATTATATTATATTTATATACGCAATATATAAACACAAAAACATAAACAGCCAGCATTGATTATGCACTAAACACAAATTGTTTATTAGAAACCTGTAGAGCCAAACTTCCAAAAACCATGACATTTGTCATTGATGTGGTTTATTTAATGTTATATTCATTTTATTTGTCTCTGCATTTTTATGTTTAATAATTTTTAGCGCAATTTCCATTCTGGAGAATTGCGTTTATTAACTCTTTTCTGGGAATGGATGGATGGATGTGTGTCCGCAGCTTTAAGTCGTATCTCCTCCTCAACGAAGCAATATCGAGGACTAGTTTCAAAAGCAAATATGTTAAGCAAGTTACCAGGATGAACTTAGGCCAAAAACATTCCAGGTTTCTTTCATGGATTTCCCGGAAAAGCCAAAAAACCTCGAAAAAATGCAGTTTTTGGCCCATATATCGGCAACCAGACCACTTAGCGACTTGAAACATGTACCAATCGATTCCTGCCATAATTTAGAACAATATTGCCGAAGAAAGTTTTCAAAAATATCCTTTCGTTTGGTCACACAAATTTTTTTGAATTAATTAAAATTTGGACCGAATTAGTAGGCATTTTATCCAACCACACCACACGCGTCATCACGTTCAATAGCTGCGCCATCACATTCAATGGCTGCGACATCACGTTCGGTAGCTAGGCGCGCAATGGTTTTTAGTCATGTTACTCTATTGTAAATAAAACATGTAAAATACTGAAAAAAAATTAATAAAAAACGTTTTAATAACTAACCAATGGTTTTACTAACCCTGCTCTTGATTTACGCTACGACAGAGCTATTTTTAGATAACATAAGGAAATTGCGCTAAAATTGTCACTAGACTTTTTTTAATTACTTGTTTTTTAAAATGTATGTTTACTCAGTCTTTTGATGTTTTGTTTATTAATTTTAAGTCATCCATGTGGTATATCATATCTCACAATAATTGTGTGTAAAAAATAAAATCCATAATAAGACATTGAATAGGAAAATGTATATTCGACTAAAAATAATCATAAATACTATAAATATTTTACTGTGAGATATTTTGTCTGACATGTTTTGTCTGAGATCATTTTAACGCCGGCCTTTCTGACACTTGACCTAGTATGGTTTGAGACGTTATGATATAAATTTCAGCTTACCACGCCCTGGACAGAATTGTCGATGCACAGTTTTAGAACAATGTATTAACATTTTTTTTCACAGACGTGTGAGAAAACAACACCTCGCTACAACGATGGGGTAGATAACGACTGCGATGGTTATATTGATGAAGAAAGAGAGAATTCGAAAGGTACTAAAAATAGACACCGTCTGTTCATTATTAGCATTATACAAACAATTAAATATAAATAAATATGTTTCCTGTCTAAATATCATTGTTGCCTGCTGTTTAATTGACTCTACTGCTGTGGTAACAGATGATGACCGCGATGGTGATTTAGATGAAGATATGGCGTCGTACACTAAAAGTAAGTCCTGACTCTGTCGTTAGTGTTAGAGTTAAGGTCTGACTCTTTGATTAGTGTTAGAGTTAAGGTCTGACTCTTGGGTTATTGTTAGAGTTAAGGTTTGACTCTTTGATTAGTGTTAGAGTTAAGGTCTGACTCTTGGGTTATTGTTAGAGTTAAGGTCTGACTCTTTGATTAATGTTAGAGTTAAGGTCTGACTCTTTGATTAGTGTTAGAGTTATGGTCTGACTCTTTAGTTAGTGTTAGAGTTAAGGTCTGACTCTTGGGTTAGTGTTAGACGTTTGGCCTGACTCTTGGATTAGTGTTAGAGTTAAGGTCTAAGACTTGGGTTAGTGTTAGAGTTAAGGTCTGACTCTTTAGTTGGTGTTAGAGTTAAGGTCTAAGACTTGAGTTAGTGTTAGACGTTTGGCCTGACTCTTGGAATAGTGTTAGAGTTAAGGTCTGACTCTTTAGTTGGTGTTAGAGTTAAGGTCTAAGACTTGAGTTAGTGTTAGACGTTTGGCCTGACTCTTGGATTAGTGTTAGAGTTAAGGTCTGACTATGGTGTTCTAAAATTACGTCAAGTAGAGCTAGAATTCTGTTTTTTCTTTACAACCATTCAGAGCTTTTCCTTAATGCAAACATTAAAACGCAAACAAATCTAAAGAATAATGTTTCTTTTGGCGCCCCATCAGATTATTCTACATACATTCTGCATAACCAAAAAAAAAAGAAAAGGGATATCCATTTACTCGACATTACCTGATGCTGAAATTTAAGTTTTGCTTTTAACCAGAATCCCAAAATTTCGGCCCAATTTTTACCTGGTAAAAAAACAAAATATTGCATAGGCTGTTATAGTAAATGTACACAAATCTTGAGTGGAATCAAGTTCACTCTATTTATATTCCTTTCTCTTGTAGCCTACCTAGAAGGCATAACTTTACCGCTACCACCACCAGTACCCCCGTTCGTGGCAGGATTTTTACCTCCAGGTTAGAAAAAAAATTATTTCTCAGAACCAATAATATAGACATACTTTAACTTACAATTTTTTTTTTATTTTTGAATATTTTATATAGGCCTTACTTACAATATATAAAAATTATTCGTTCTATTCAAACATATTACATATTTAAAAAATACTAATTTGTAAGTCCGGAATTATCAAACTGTATAATATAATTTAGCGTTCTAATTTTTAAACTATGTTATGCAACGGTTTAATTTTGAAACATTTTTTCTCTGAAAATTTTAGACTGCCCTTGTCCAGAGGTTACTAGCTGCCAAATGGAGATGTGCAAGTAAATTAAATTTTCAGCAGATATTTAATACTTATGTTATTTCGTTAATTTTATAGTTAAGCTTTTTGTGGAACTAGGTGAAACAGGAAACAAACGATCAAATAGTATAAAAATATATTTGATTATCAAGCTAAAGTTGGCACAATATTCATTTTAAATAACAAATGAATGTTACCTCTAGTTAAACCGTATAAAAATCAAATAAAGGCGAAGATAGGATATGGCTTTAATTATTGTGTGATAAAACACTGAATTTATTAACGTGTTCTCACTTTCCTCGCTATTTCCGTTCTTATGTCTTTTCTTTCATGTGTATAAATTGTATGTATATATATATATATATATATATATATATATATATATATATATATATATATATATATATATATGAATATATGTTTGTATAGATATGTATATGATGAGAGATATATGTGTATATATGTGTATATATTTAGATAAATTGGGATAAATATAAATGTATATATATATTATATATATATATATTATATATATATATATATATATATATATATATATATATATATTTATATTTATATATATATATATATATATATATATAATATATAATATATATTATATATTATATATATATATATGAATATATATATATATATATATATATATATATATATATATATATATATATATATATATATATATATATATAATATAGACTGCCTAAGTTGTGATCGCGTTTTCATTATTCTGGGTGCGATTTCATTGTTAGTAGCTTCTTGTTTGGCTCTTGTTTGTATAGCATTCTATATGCAATGCGTCATGGACCAAAAGCAGTGTTTCTTCCAGACTTTTTTCTCCGGGGGGGGGCACTTGAAATTTTTGGAGGAGGCAGTAGACTTTCTTCTGGGGGGCGGACACTTTTAAAAGTATATATTTTCTATATAAATTATATAAATTTCATTTCGTTCGGGGGGGGGGGGGGGCGGTAAAAAAATTTCGGGGGGGCTTAGCCCCCCCCCCCCCCCCCGAAGAGATGCCTGGAAGAAACTCTGACCAAAAGGACCGTCA